GAGAGTTTAGAAAGAGTGGGAGTTGACTTGAAGTTTGTCGACAGTTGAGACGCCAAAGAGATTCTAGATAGTAATTTCCCATAAAAAGTCATTCGAGAATCGAAGAAATAAAGATACGTGGGGCGAGTGGTTACGAGAGGTTACACAAGTTACGAAAGAATCACGCAAGTCACGTAGTGGACAGTAGTTATGTACCCCACGATGAACTTGCATACAATTAACTGCTCCTAATTAACTCTATAAATACAAGAAGTAACCTCGTTGTAAAAGAGGTAACTGCTCCCAATTAACTCTATAAATACAAGAAGTAACCTCGTTGTAAAAGAGGTCAGAAAATCATACTTGATAACTCTTACAAACACTTACTCCTTACGCTATGGCTTCCACGCGCAGGATTGTTGCTGGGTATGACTTCTTGGCCATATTTTCTTTCTTTCTTTAGGATTAGCTTAGTTTCGTTTAAATTATGTAGTTCGTAGTTCGTTATTTTCTTAAAATCATTATACATTATAATCCGGCAATTATGTGAATTGAATGATAATTTATGTTATCAATTTATATATCATTCACTCAATTTATTTGAACGTCTACATACATGAGAATTGTTATTTAGTAATTATTGATGAATATCTAGTAATAAACAACTGTTAGTAATTTTGTATTATTCTTATCTCTGTTCTCAAAATACTTAATTTTACATACCTAAACTGAAAATTATGCTAGTTTTAATATAAAGAGCCCATAAACGAAAATCCACGACAAATAATACTTGAATTGAAATTTTACTAGTTTGAATAAAAAGCACCTACAAAATCTTGACAAATAATATTGCATTAATAAGAAAAAGATTAAATACAAAGAGATTACACTATTAGAATAGTGAAAAGTATATTTTAATTAGTTATAAGATATAAGGTAGTTTTTTAAAAAATATACTATATAATTAAAATAAAATTATTGTTATTAACTAATTTAATTATTTATTTAATATGATAAATTAAGAACGAAAGTAGTCTGATTAACAGAGTGAGACCTTACTGGAAAATCATAAAGCTATTAGTAGCGGTACTTGAGAAGTTAAGAAGAGGAGCAGCATCTTTGAAATGACTTCACATATTAAGAAGAGCAACCAACAAATTACCACACTGACAGCAACAAGTGTCCTTTATTGGGACTTAAATAATTCAAACTAGTGTCTCGAGCATCCACAACACCCACACTCCCTAAGTCGTACTTTTTCTCCTCTCATTTATTTTTTTAATTTACCCAGTTATTCCATGACTTGTCAAATTATATTTTAATATTTAAAAGTAATTAAAATTAAATAGTACAAAAAAAAATACATTGAGCCTAATTCATGAGTGTACACTATAATATATAGTATCTTTAACGGCTAAAAATCTATTTTAGTCCCTTATAAGAATTGTTTGTTTCAATTTAATTCCACTTTTATTTTTTGTCTTAATTTGGTCCCTAGTAAAATAATTGGTTGTAATGTGAGACTTTCGTCTAAATTATTTAAACGGAGTTAACTGTTGATCACGTGGATGCTACGTAGATGCACGGGTGGATGCCACGTGGATGTCACATGGATGCCAAATTTTTTGAAAACACCTGGAACTAAAACGGCCCGTTCTGAAACCAGAACGGGCCGTTCTGGGTGCATACTTGGTATGTTAATTTTGCATCTGAAACGGGCCGTTCCAAATGCAAAATTAACACACCCATGAGTACAACCAGAACGACCCGTTCTGGTTTCAGAACGGGCCGTTCTGGATGTAGAACAGCCCGTTCCAGAACTATAATAATTTTGAAAAATATTTTTTTATGATAAAAATTTTAAAATTACTTATTTTTATAAAATACAATTGTCTTATAAATAGAGTGATAACTTTTCCTTTTTCTCTTTCTGTCTGAAGAAATATTTAAGTGTCACTTAATAATTTTTTGCAACTTATTTAAAATTAGAGGAATAAAATGATAAAAATTAATAGGATAAACATAATGAAATTATTAATTTGTTTTCTTTTAGTGTCCTCTAAATTTTTACACTCATTTAAAACAAAAATATTTTATATGTTATTTTGAATTAATTTAACGAAGTATCATATGATTTTTAATTTTTTAAAAAATTTTATAAATTTGATCTATACATGAAAAACTTTTTAATTTAACAATTAAATTTTTAAAAATTTGATATAGAACATTAATTATTAAGTAGAATAAATCTATCAAGACTTACTCTTGAAGTAAGTAAATTTTTTCTTCATTAAAAATGAAGATAATTTTACCACAAAATAAAAAACAATTAAACAATAAAATAAAATATAAAAAAATATTAATATATTTATTATATTAGATATAACAAGATAATTAAAATATAATTAATAATATATATTTTATAAAATTATTAATATTTTATATATAAAAAAAAAGAATGAAAAAATTTTTAGTGAGGACAAGTGCCCCCACTATGATTAATTTAGATTCGTCCCTGCATGTGGTTGTATGGTGAAATGTTAGTCCTGTGTATCCTCTTCCTTTACTTCAGGTTCTACCTCTTCAAGAACAAGTTGTTGTGTTGGGGTACATCGTTAATGACTTCAAGAAAAAATACCATGTCATTTCATCCTGTACTGTATAGTGTCAATTTGGTAATAAATGGTTTCTCCAGTTTGACTAACAATGAAATAAAATCTGTTATCATTGTCTTTAGTGATACACTGCATTGTCCTTAATGACATACTGTATAGCCCAACTGTTTAGCAATTGAAGTTATCAATTTCCATTGACAATATTATCAAATTCAGTGTTTGAAATGCTTTGTACTTTGAGTCTTTTTCCTTCCACGATTCACAACCGTGAACTATAATCATTAACAATTTGTGTTTAACAGTCTGGAACCAGAATGGCCCGTTCTGAAACCAGAACGGCCTGTTCTGGTTGCTCTTTTAGTGTGTTAATTTTGCACCTGGAACGGGCCGTTCCGGATGCAAAATTAACACACCAAGAGTGAACCCAGAACGGCCCGTTCTGGTTGGTTTCAGAACGGGCCGTTCTGGTTCAAGGAATTTTAAAAAAATTGTGACATCCACTTATGTATCTACGTGGCATCCACATACATGCCACGTGGCCAACAGTTAACTCCGTTTAAATAATTTAAACAGAAGTCCTACATTGCAACCAATTAATTTATTAGGAACCAAATTGAGACAAAAAATAAAAATGAGACTAAATTAAAATAAATAATTATTATAAGAGACCAAAATAGGTTTTTAACCTATTTTAAGTCAAGAATAGTCGTATATACAGTAGGAAAAGAAATTGCAGAAGCAATAAAAGGAGAGAGAAAATAAAAATCATTCTCCAATAAAATAACAACAGGTAGGATCCATGATTTTCGTATAGTAAACTTTTCATTCAATGGGGGCAGGCATGGCTCTGGCTCCCCTATACAAAAAAATATAATTATTTGAAATTTAGTTAAAAACAATATATTAATATCTTATATTGTTAATGATTTTATGATTTAAAAGAATGATATTTATAAATTAGATAAATAATATGATATATTTAATAATTGCAATTTAGTTTTTATTTAAATATTTTATTAAAAATCGGACTCCTTTTGTACAGTATTCTGGATTTGTCTCTGAACAGTTTTCTCAAGTTAAATGTCTGTTTAAAATTTCTCAAAAATAAAATTAAATACACTTTCTTTTGATAAATGATTAAATATACTCTTAGTTCATAAATTTTATCAACTTAATTTTATTTCAAGACTCTGAAATTTTTTTTTTAATTTTTTTTTAAATCATGAACAAAAAACTTAAATGTCAGGGTCCAAAATTTTACTGAAAAAAATAAAGATTAAAAATAAAAATTGAAAAAATCAGAAATTAAAAGCAAAAAATTGGTAACTAAATGTATATATAATCCTTTAATAAAAGGATTATATATATTTTATGATAAAGAACACGTACATGTCCACTTTTTTTTATAAAAAAAACACACACACACAAGTAAATAGTTTTTTTTTTGGTATATCTCCTTGAAAGGTGAAATTGAAACAACTAATTGATTTCAGTGGTTAATTGAGGACGTAAATAGTATCAATTCTTTGGAAGCGGAAGAAAAATTATACAAAGCAAATTACAAACGTAGGAAATCAAACTATTCCTACTGTAATACTACCTAGTCTAATGTCAAGTAACTCATAGACAGACATACATCCTCATCATTCAAGCTCATATTTTAATTACCTTCATACATATATATTTACATATTGATTTTCCCCTGGTAGGTATGTTTGAGATAAACCGTAATTTTAATTATGTAAATCCGCATTTATCAATATCATCATTGTTAAGCTCTATTTATTTTAGAAAGAAAACAATTAGAAAGATTAGTGAGAAAATGTATTAAAAGATTAAAATTATTCAATGTGGTTGGTTTACTATATCTAAACATAAAGGGTTTTTTTTCCTTCATTTTTTCGTTGATGATTGATAAATGCATCAGGCAGCATGAGCAGTCAATTGTAATAAAATGAGTATACATATAATCCTAAATATAATTAATGCTGGTCACGAGTCATGCTAGATGCTTCAGTTGAAATAGATCGATCATGGTGAAAATTATGATTTAATGAGCGGGGTCAATGCTGATTAAGGTGTTTAATTTGTGATCATCTCACATTTGGAAGTTACTAATCCAAACTTACAGTAGCGCAATAAAAATAATAAGGAAAAATCAGTAGTGAGAATGCATAAACATTACGTGTTACAAATTATGCTTTGATTAATTAGCATGCATAAGTAGTAATAGTACTCACAAGATCGAAGACCTATATATATATATAGCATAGCACCTGATACAAGAGTGGCAAACACTATCTTATAAGCATTAATTAACAATTTTTTTGAAAAGAAACAGATGGAAAGTAAAACAATTTGAATGACTCGTGGCTATGGTGCACTCATACTCATACATTCTACTAATTAGTTGCCACCACCAACTCCACCACCAAACCCGGCACCACCCCCAACGCCAAATCCACCACTAGCTCCAAAACCACCACCACCACCAAATCCACCACCACCACCTCCACCTCCGCCAACTCCTCCTCCTCCTCCTACTCCACCGCCAGCTCCAAACCCTCCACCACCACCTACACCACCACCGCCGCCAAATCCACCTCCTCCTCCTGCACCACCACCAACACCATGGCCAAGTCCACCACCACCACCCGCTCCCCCACCAATGCCGCCACCAACACCATGGCCAAGCCCACCACCACCACCTGCACCCCCACCAATGCCACCGCCAATTCCATGACCTAGTCCACCTCCACCTCCAACACCACCACCAGCTCCACCGCCAATGCCGCCACCAACACCATGACCTAGCCCACCTCCACCTCCAACACCACCACCAACACCATGACCTAACCCACCTCCACCTCCAACACCACCACCGCCGCCAGCTCCACCGCCAATGCCACCACCAACACCATGACCTAGTCCACCTCCACCCCCTAGACCACCCCCAACACCATGACCAAGCCCACCACCGGCACCACCACCAAGTCCACCTCCACCTCCTAGACCACCACCGGCACCACCACCAAGTCCACCTCCACCTCCTAGACCACCACCGGCTCCACCACCAATGCCACCACCTATTCCATGACCCAAACCTCCTCCATGACCAATGCCTCCACCCACACCACCTCCAATGCCACCACCAGTTCCTCCACCAAATCCACCACCGCCTCCTAGACCTCCACCACCACCTAGTCCACCTCCACCTCCTAAACCTGCACCTCCACCTGCACCTCCACCAAAGCCACCACCTAGGCCTCCTCCTCCTCCTAAACCTCCACCACCACCGAAGCCAAGCCCACCATGCTTAATCCCTGGCCCCAACAAATGTGGTGGATGAATCAAATGCTTCTCATCCTCAACCTTTTCAACCTCCCCCACTACAGTGCCAAGTACAATGCACAAGCCAAACACAACCACAACGCCATTCCAAACTACTTTCATTGTGAGGAAGAAGAAAAGGAATGTGTAACTGAACTGAGTGCGTTTTTTGAGCAATGAACAAGTGCTTTATATACACTGAAAGAGTAGATACCACAGTGTGAGAAGGTTCACTCAAATTACTCAGCTGCCACTTTCGAAGGAGTAAATGAGGCTCATCTGCCTATGCCTGAGTGATTTAATGGCCCAACTGTCCTCGTCTCCAACGCGCTCTGAAATGAAGTCACTGTTTCACGATACCATTACAGGGTTTTGACCACTTGGGTGCTGCTTTTTCTTTTCATTTATTCCATTTTCAACAATTGTCTGCATGCTTCCGTAGATTCCTTCTTTCTTATTACTCCAGTATTAGTTGGCCATTATGTCAAACATCTTGTACACTATTAGGGTTTATTCACCTTCTGTCACCGTTATTAATGCCTTCCTCTCATAATCATTAATGCAGCAACCAAACAGCGTCCTATCTACAGTAGACTCTTCTGCACGCATCTCTCTCTCTCTCTCCCTCTAGCCATCGGACAAAACGTCAGCAACATACAAAATTTAAATATTTCATCCCACTTTCACCTCATTTTCTCACTATATGTCTCTCCATTTTTTACTACATCACCTACTTTTCATTTCTATATATACACCCCTAATCCACCCCCTAAATCAAAATGTAGTGGACATTAATCAATATTTAGCCAGAAACATAAGAGTATGGGGTGGATCACGACGATGTGGAGTGTTTTTATGAAGAGAATAATTATTGTTGTGATATGAGATACGATATGATTGTTATCTGTATATGAGATGCTATGTTAAATGCTATAAGATGATATCAATGAGGACAGAGAGGATCTACCATGTGCCATGTGATGTACGTGTAAGACTATTTGCATTTCTTGTAAACATGCACGGACAAATGTCCCATTACATTCATGCAACTCCAAAATTGTGAAACAAACAACCTTTTGCAATGCACACAGTTTATTTGAAGTATTTTGTAAAGGGGTAATAGTGATGATGATATTTTTTTCTAAAGTATTTGTAAAACGATGACAGTGATAAGAATAATTTATTTTTATAGATATTTACTAAATGTCATGTAATTGACCTCGTGTATTTTTTTCTCTCCCTTTTTTGTACTTCATTAGTGTTATTACTGTTTAAATTAATATTTTTTCTCATTTTTAGTCTCTCACTTATTTTTATTCACCAATATTAGTTCCTTAAAGAGACTATTTTTTGTCTTTTTGTTGCTTATTTTTATCCTCTTAAAAATGAAAAAATTAATATAGAGACAAAATCGAATTCTGAAGTAGTTGAATGACGAGAAACTTGGTTAATCCATTAATTTTCAAAGTACAGTATTTTAAAAGAAAGCATAACGTTGCATAAGACAAGCTGTCAAAAACACACACTGCATAAGACGAGAAAGAAATAAATTCATTCTATTTTTTATTGAGAACGGCTACAAATAAATGAATAAACTAAGTTGGTCTAAGTTTTACGGGCCTTCCTCTTTTTTCTTTTTAAATAATTTTCCCATCTCAATTTGCCAACTACAACAAGTCAAACATGTTCATTTGTGTGTGTTTTGAGAGAAATTAGCAATGAAATCATTTCCTCGCTAATATAAGGCATGTTCATATGTGTGTGAGACCTGAGAAATGACTAAACCACCTTCCACTATACTATACAATCAAAACATGGATGCGAAATAGCATTTATGATATTAACACCAACATGAGTCGGTCATTTACTACAGGAATGCGAAATATATAGCTATATAAATTTGTGATGATTATTAGGTAATCAGTTTAAACGAATATAATGAAATTGATCGGTGAATTCAAACATAAGATCCATTATATTAAAAGTTCTCTTAATGGTTGATCTATGCATAGAGTCTTTATGTTAACATATAGCTCAAGAGACGTGTTCCACTATAATGGTTGAGCAATGATACAAGTATTTGTAGCACGACTACCCTCATTTAATCAATTGGTTGTCAATCTAGAAGTTTGCTTATCATCTACATGCTTTTCAGGGTAAAGGTGGTTAGAAAATGGTTTGTATGGAACCATGATAGTAGAAACTATCTATTGTGTTTATAAATAGGGATATTAGTAAAAGGGATGTTGTTTCATGACTTACATATTGCTTGTTTTAGACTGCAGTAATTTGTGTGGGGAAAAGGATAAATGTTTTTCTTTTAATTCTTTGTACTGTTATATATGTTGTTCGGATTGAATATCTCTTGTACCTTTTATCCTTTTCTTAAATAATATTTTATTTTGTTAAAAAAAATAGAATACTTATGGATTGGAGGGAGGTGGTTAAAACCATATATTTTGTTTGAGGGAAAAATTGTTGAAATATAATCAAAGTCACGCATCATTCAAACAAGAGAATAAATATTAATTTATATACACAAATTCTCATTAGTAAGTGACATTTTAGAAGATAATTAAATTAAAAGCAGAATCATGAGTGAATTGAGGACTTAAACTTAAAATGGACAATATTTTATCATGTAAAGACATATATGTGAATGAATCTCCTATATACAACAAGTAATATAAAAAATAATGATTTCGACTAAGTTATCAATTAGATGAATATGATAGAATTTGACGGCTATATTGCTATAGGCCATTATTAGTTTATTTCAAACAAGATTGAATTCTATAGGCTATTATTAAATATACTACTATAAGAAATGTTAAAATATAATTCTTTATTTGATGGGATGATTATTATAATATAATTGAACATGATTAAAACAAAATGATTCACTGAGTTTATAAACACGCACAATATATATCTCAATTAGTAAAAAACTTTTTAAGTGATAACTAAAATAAAATAATAAAATTTAAATTTAAAATAAATAATACTTTATTAATATAAAAATAAATGTGTTTATAAATTCACTTACTTAACCATTTTAACAGCAAATAATATGGGGTAAACTTTAAAATTACATTCACCGATTGACTCCGAGGAATTTTTTGTTGTTGTTGAAATATCATTAATGAAAGAGTGACAACGAAATATGGCGAGGGATCTCTCTTGCAAAATCGTCCGAATTTGAGGAAAAATAAATATTTTAATTATCGAGGGAATCATTTCATCACAAATGTGTAGCAATTTACTGGACGAATTCACAAATCTATCATAAAACCACCGTGATCTTAATTAAAAAATGGTTTTGATTATTATTTTATATTAAATATATTTTTTAAGTGATAAAAACCAAATAAATACTATTAAAAAGTATATAATGTTGAATTAATATTCATATTAATTAATGTTATAAAGATATTTAACTAATTTAAAATAATATAATTTTAAAAACTAAGATTTAAATATATTTTATTCTCTGTTACATAAGTGACTTTTGATTTTAAGTCCTATAAATTTATTTTATTTTTTTTTTTTCATTCCTGTAAATATTTTTTGTCCTATTTCAGTTTCTTTAGTTTGGAAATGCATTATTTTATTTTATTTTTTATTTTTCAAGTAGTTTAATAATTTTTATAATTGTTTTTAAGTAATATCTGAAGTACTTTAAATATTAAAAGTAATGTATTTTTGAATTATAGAACTAAAATAAGACAACAAAAATTAGAGGAACTAATTAAAATCAAATTACAATTATTTTAGAGGGATTAAAAACATATTTTACCTAACTTAAAATCATTAATTCTGGTCCATATAAAATGAGAAAGTTTTGGTTAATGTGAGAAATAATAAATAAAAATATAGGTAATTAGATTGTATTTTAATGGTTAAGATTAAAAAAGTTTCATGAGTTTTTTAAAGAGTAATGTGATTATCGGTCAATTGATTTTTAAATTTTCTTTGAATCACTTTAATTATAATGATAATACTAGAGTTTAAATTTAGAATCTTGAATATATTACTCAAATTTTTTTTATTAGGCGAACTTGAACTTATAATATATATATATA